CACATGGGAAGGAGTATGAAGGGAAGTGTGGCCAATATGTTCAATATCCAAACCTGTCCCATTACCCACAATTATTTGGTTTGTGCCATTGTACTCAGAACAAATAACAATATGATTAAAAGTAAACTTAAATGCATGCTTGTAGAAAATAAAAATTATTATTATTATTATTATTGTTGTTGTTGTTGTTGTTGTTGTTGTTGTTGTTGTTGTTGTTGTTTTTCGACAAAATTTTGTACATTTTCATTTTTGGTGTTTTATATATATCCCTTTTTAAATATTTAATATTCAATTATGACATCACGGGTTTCTTTGAAAAGTTGGATCATTGATCCACCATCTAGATAAGAAATTAACTTTGCTTTCAGACTAGTTTTAAATTAAGTAAAATTATAGTCAAAATAAGTTGTACATTTAAAATTAGACTACAGGTTGGTCCAAAAACTAATAGAACTCTAACAACCGACTCTACATTTAAAATTATAAAAACTCTTGCCATATCATCAAAGGCTTATGTGGTTATTGCTAACATGGGACTCTTAATCCATATTGGACACAACAAAAAGCTTATACCAAAATTACCCTTTAATGTTGGGTGATTGGAAATAAAAAAAAAGGGTTTTTAGTTTATCTCTCTCTCTCTCTCTCATTCTCACAGTCGTCTCTCTACTCAATGACTGTGTGATTTGAAAATAAATAAGAATGGTTTTTGGTTTTTGAATTTACGTTCTTTCTATCAATTTCTTTTATTCTCTCTCTACCTATTGGATCTTCCTCAATATCTTTCTCTCCTGCTCCCTCTCTCATTCTTTTTTTTTTTCTTATACACTTATATGGTATTAATCAGATCGTATAAAAGAACATGAGACCAACTTGGTATAATTCAAAAATCATTACACCAATTTGGTAAAAGTTCACAACAAACTCTTGGCTATAAATTCTTTCTATCAAGTTCTCTTAGTCTCTCTCTACCTATTGTTCTCCCTCAATATCTTTCTCTCCCGCTCCCACTCTCGTTCTTTTTTTTTATTTTTCTTCTACACTTATATGGTATTAGTTAGATCGATAAAAGAACATGAGACCAACTTGGTATAGTTCAAAAATCATTACACCAATTTGGTAAAAATTCACAAGAAACTCTTGGCTATAAATTCTTTCGATCAATTTCTCTTATTCTCTCTACCTATTTTTCTCCCTCAATCTCTTTCTCTCCCACTCCCTCTCTCGTTCTTTTTTTTTATTTTTCTTATACAAGTATATGGTATTAATCAGATTGTATAAAAGAACATGAGACCAACTTGGTATAATTCAAAAATCATTACACCAATTTGGTAAAAATTCAAAAGAAAAAATAATAAAAAAAGAACAAAAGAGGGAACAGGAAAAAGACTAAAGGAGAAAAAGAGAGAGAGAGAGAGAGAGAGAGAGAGAGAGAAAGAGAAAGAGAGAGAGAGGTTTCGATTTGGCTACAGACCAAAGCTAAGAGAGTGGGAGAGATAAAAGGAGCGGGAGATCAAGAGATGACTATGAGAGTGAGAGAAAAGGGAGGGAGATCAAGAGACAAAGGGAGTGGGAGAGAAACTGAAAACCTATTTTCAGTATAGGCTTTTTGTTGTGTCCAACATGGATTAAGAGTCCCATATTAGCAATAGCCACATAAGCATTCGATGACATGGCGAGGGTTTTTATAATTTGAAAAGTAGAACTGGTTGTCAAAGTTTTGTTGGTCTTTAGACCAACTTGCAACCTAATTTTAAATGTACAACTAGCTTTGACTATAATTTTCCCTTTAAATTGTATATTTCATTTATATTGTAGAAAATAAATTTTACGTATCACACTTAATTTTTGTTTGTTTATGATGTCATTTGACATAAGCCATTAACCCACCGCCCAAAAAGAAAAATATTTGATTTCTAGGTTGACATTACATTTTTATTACATTTCTATCAATGATAAAATTATTTCTTATGTAAAATACTTATTTTTGTTCAATATAATGAATGCATAGTATTAGAGATGTACCCAATATTTAATGTTTTATAAATATATGACATTAGATATGTGCCCAAATTTTTCTCTATCTTTTTTTTTTGTGATTCTTTCATATTCTATTTTAAAAAAAAATATTATTTGACTATGGCACCACCCTCGTATCGTATCTTTTAAAAAACGATATAGGATACGCATGAAAATTGGATGTTTCGTCTTTTTTCATGTGTATCGGACCCATATTGGGGCGTATCAGTAGCGTATCGATGAAAAAGATACATCCAAAAACTAAAAATAAAAAAAAATAAAGGGGGAAAGCAAGCTTCTTTCCCCAAAATAAGCACTATTTCACCCCCAAATGACTCTAAAACTCTAAACTTCATTTCTAGAGTGCTAGATTTGTAAAATTTTGCAAGAAACAAGTGTGAATCGTTATTTTTTTGTAAGATTTTTCAAATTTTGAAAAAATATGGCAAAAATAGGTAACTTGTTTCAATCTTTTATAATATCTTGTGATTTCTTTTTTATTTCTTGAATGTTTAAATTTATGTTGATCTACATTTCTTACATTCAAAATCACCAATTTTTTCTACTATTTATAGATTTATGGAAATTTCATGAAAATATTTGGGGAAAATATAAATTAACAAAAAATTTGAAAATGTAAGTTTTTTCTCTGCCTATATAGACTAAATATGTTTTAGATCTATGGATTTATCTATCATATCCATAGAGCAATTGAAATTTCGTCTTTAATTTTTTTTTACATTTTTAGAATTAAAATAAATAAATAATAACTAATTATGTTTTATCATTTGATCATAACAATTGAATATATTATAATTCTATGGATGATCTATCATATCCATAGACCAATTGAAATTTCTTCTTTAATAAATATTTTTTTTTATTTTTTAGAATTAAAAATTAATTAATTATATTTTATCATTTGATCACAATGACTGAATATATTATAATTCTATGGATGATCTATCATATCCACAATTGAAATTTCTTATTTAATAACTATTTTTTGAATATACTTAATATAAAAAATAATTTATAGTTGGGCTAGCCCAATGGGCCAGCCCAACCTGTTTTAAGTCAGGCTTGAAGCCTTGAACATAAATTTAGACCCATGGGTTTCTGCTTGTGCCTGACTTTTTTGGGCCAGGCTTGGGCTTTCTCAGAAAAACTAGCCAAAGCGTGAGCCCAAGTTTATAAGATATTATATAATAAAACATGTATTTTATATGATAAAAATATACATATAATATGTTCTTTTCTTTATTCCTCTTCTCTTATTTCAAGCCACGAAATCTTTCATTATTTTTGGATTTTGAGATATTTGATATAAATAAATCAGTTTTTTATTGAGCAGAACCTAGGCCCGATGGTCGAGCTGGGCTCAGCTCGGGCCTGAATGTCTTCCGTTAATATAGAGACAAAAGCCTGGCCCAGACCAGCCCTTGAACAGGTCTAATTGTACGTCATTGTATGATATGTATTATTTTCAGATGGGTACCTGCAAGTTTAAAAATATGAAGATGTTCAAAGATTAATGTTCTTTACGTAGAATGTAGATTTCAAAAATCATTATAAATTTTTGCCTATTGTCCATATGGATAATTCGATACTTTACCTGTTTCTTCCAAATCAGAGATATGGTTATTCACCAATAGAACATCTTCCAATGTTATGCGGTAGAAAATGATTCGATTTTTTGGTAATTTGTAGAAATAGAAATAATAAAGACAGAGTAGTTACTTTATTAATATAAATTTATAAATTTGAATAAGATATTATCTTAGAAATTAATGAATTTGATATATTTTTAAATACAAAATAAATAACAACTTTTTTGTTCTTTACATAAATAAAGTATTGTTTATGAAATATTTAAGAATTTAAGATTATGTTGGATTATTTTTTGTTAATATATAAAAATAAAAATAAAAAAAAATTAGTATTCAAATATAATAGTTGCATATGATTTATGTCTAGCATATTCTACAATTTCATGTGTAATATATTTTTATATTAATTATATATATATATATATATATATATTTGTAATTATTAAGTAACAATTTAGCATAAAGAAGTAACTGAGTAAGAACATGTTAATGGCTTTATACATGTGGTGATCTGTAAAAATATATACATTGTCTCAAACTCTTGATAAATGTCTATCCATAAAGCTTTAATGATAATACATTTATTCATATAAGCTATTAGAATATGCATTTATTATGTATTTATATCTTATTCATAGTTATTAGGTAAGGCCGTAAACGGTATACATTTGTCCGAATTAAAGCTTGGGTTGAATATGAATAATTTTCAATTTATTTTGTTCATTGAAATACAATATCGAATTTGATGCATTTATTATTATCATTTTTAATTTAATTTATTTATACTATTCAATATCCCATTGCAATTGGAATCGGAATTCAATTACAATCTGATATAAATACATACCCATATATCCAAAATATATCTGTGATACATACCCATTTCTGACGACATGCAATACAAATAGGTAAGAGTAAAACCTTACATAGTATAGGATTTTACAAGGTCAGATGCAAGAGTCGAGATTCTAAAATTCAGGGAGATTTCAAAATGACCCAAACAATTGGCAGAAAAAAAAGGAAAACAAGGTCCAAAGCTTTGTAGGCCAGGGACCATCCAACATAGCTAGTGATATCAACTGAAAAGGAAAAAGAAAAGGGAACAGGGGTGATTGTTGAATGCTGGCATACTTCCACAACTACCAACTTTTATCTTCGTAAATAGACAATCAGACAACTACATGGACGTACCCTCACTGATGCAGAGGGCATACGAGTGACAGTGCAGGGCGCAGCTGAAGCGGTTGTCATACTTGACACAGAAAGCAAAAGCATCCCTTCTCTCGTGACTCGGAATGAATTGGATAGCAGCTGCCTTTAAAAGATTTTACAAGCACGATCAAGCCACATCAAAGAAAGTACAAGGAGATGGATACAATGTCTCTGCATAGAGTCATTTTGTTTAACAGAGGAAGGGCAAACCAACCCAGATCAGAAGTCCTCCCTGTTGCCATTCATTTTCTTCGTAGAAGATAAAGAATAACGCAGGTTAGTTATTTCAGTACATGCCAAACAAGCCAAATTGAAAATTCCACATCTTGCAACTAATTTTACAGAACCAAGGAACTTCCGAAAGAGTTTTTCCTTGATTGCAATCAAATCTACAAAGTGTTATACATACAAATACATACATACAGTTTACAGAAATAATAAATACATATATTTACTAGCTTTACAGTATTATACTAGCTGCTCAAAGCAGGTGACCCAATCTTGTGTTGGCTTCAATATCCTCGTTCTAAGAACAATTGCTCAGGACCAGCTGTATTGTGCATTTCCTCTTCCCATTGTTAGGGAAGGACAAGGGATGTTTGTTACCTTGTTTTACTCATGGTTATGGCATTAACAGGAGACTTCAAAATGCTCTTTAAATGAACCACATGTCTCCAAAGCATGAAGCTCTGCACAACATAAAAAAAAAATTAAAAAAAAAAAAAACTAAAGATGCAACAATTATTAGTTGGTTATTGTATGTCATTGGTGGCTTAGCCCATCAACAGAAAGAAGACTATTCCGAGTGGGAAGTTTAATTCTCTATTACAGCATTTACTTGCAACCCACTCATATAGCTTGTTGTATTAGCATTAAAACGAGAACATCTTTAACAATCATTTCAACTTAGTGATCTAAAAATGGAGGGAAAACTGTACCAGAAAAAGGCCAGGTGACGGTTCAAACAGTCAACAGGCCGGTTGTGCCATCTTTGCTCTTAAGAGACAAGTTTTCTGTCATGTTTTAAGGCCATGTTTGGGAGGTGCTTATTCACAATAAGAGTTTATTTGGGCCATTAAGCACTTTTTGGTATTTGGGAAATAAGCCTGAAATAAGTGCTTATTTTAAAAATAAGGACTTATTTTTTAAGCCCAAATTTCCAACTTTTTTTAAGTGCTAATACAATAAGCACTTATTCAATTTTTTTCTTCCAAAATTATCCCTAATTGAATTTTAAAATACCACTTATAAAATTATCCCTAGTTGAACTTTATAAAAGTACTTTTATGAAAGCACTTTTATGAAAGCACTTTTATAAAAGTACTTTTACAAAAGCACTTTTATAAAAGTACTTTTACACGAGTACTTTTAAGAAAGTACTTTTATGAAAGCACTTTAATGAAAGCGCTTCTATGCAATTATTTTTATGAAAGCACTTTTACAAAAGCACTTTTTTGAAAGCACTTTCACAGTACTACTTTTACGAAAGCACTTTTATGAAAGCATTTTTACGAAAGCTCTTTTATGAAAGCACTTTTATGAAAGCACTTTTACCATAGTGCTTTTATAAAAGTACTTTCATAAAAGTGCTTTAATAAAAGTATTTTCATAAAAGTGCTTTAATAAAAGTACTTTCATAAAAGTGCTTTCACAAGGGTACTTTCTTAAAAGTGCTTTCGTAAAAATACTTTTATAGAAGTGCTTTTGTAAAAGTGCTTTCAGAAAAGTGTTTCTATAAAGTACTTCGATAAGTGTTTTTATAAAAGTAATTTAATAAAAATGCTTTCAAAGGGTATATTTTGAAAATCTGAGAAAATGAAGGACAAAATAGTCACAAATGCTCTAATCATTTTGCCTAACTGTAATCTTATAATCAAATCCAAGGCCTTCCCCTTCAGCAAAAACCAAAGGGATGAAATACTCTAATCTTTTTGCCCAAGTGTGTTGTAATAGATAGCAAACCTAGAAGCATGTGCAACTTCAATGTGAATGCTTGGATACCTTTTTCCCCCGGAGTCTAGACAACCACAGTAAACATCAAAACAATAAATAGATAAATGACAGACACTCAAATGCTTCAGGATGTACACATTATAAGAACAAATTTTACAATAAATTAGAGTAACGCACCTTCACCAGACAACTGTTCAAATCGAGCAACGATGTGCTTCCCGTAAGTGTACTTCTTCAGAGCATGAAGATGAACTTTTATACGGCTAAGCAATATTTCTCGTTGCTTATCAGTACAAATTTCAAGAACCTTTTGGACAACATAATTCGCAAATTGGTCCTTCATCATAACCTGCAGAGCACAAAAGTCAAAAAAGTTACAACTAACTCAGACGAATGAAGGTTTCAAATTTGCAAGATAGAGAAGTATTGCAAACTCTTGTATGAGTTCTATAATATCCAGATAATTATACATTAAGAGTATTAAATGTCAAAGTCAAGGGTTCACAATCAAGATCACGCACAACGCCAAAGTGTGGGCAGACCACAATAAAGGAAGTACAAGCAGATAATTGTTTGACCAAGCAAAAGCATCATTTTTTTAGTATGAATATCCTGTTACCGCTTCCACCAACACTTAAATCCTTTATATGGTTGCTGTCATTAAACAGTATTTTACAGAGGATCCATTCTTTTTCCTCTTGATAATTAAGAGGTTTTCTTGAAAAGAAAGGCATACTGCTAAAGAACAAGGACTGATTTACACAGAACACAACCTTAAACAATAGACACCCCATAAGATAGAATGTCATTTGTTCCAAAAGCCCGAGAAAGATAAGCCTTTGAAGTCCCCCAAAAATACTAAATTTTCTTCAGGTTCCCTACTATATGCCTTTCAAAATCTCGTAGTAGATCATTTAAAAAAGAAGTTTATATTTTGCAAGCCAATGTGTTTTGTATGGGGAGTTCACGGAATTTGCAATTCGTTTATTCAAGTTTAGACCAGCAGAATTATGTGGAAGTTCCTTGCCAGGTTGTTCAGCGAATCCAAACATGAATCCTTATCTGCCATTTCATTCTGTTCAGTGCCATATCATTGTCAAACTATGGACCCCTAAATTTCTCTATCATTACAAGACAAAAATAAAAATATTCTCAAATCTGTTGCTGATAAAAAAAAAAGAACTTCTAAATTTCCACCTTTATCATTCAGTCCCATCTGAGTTGAGGAGTACATTACCAATTTTAGACACAACAAAGCCAATTTTCCTTTCCCCAAGGTACATTCAACGTTTTAAAAGTACAAGGCGCAAAAAAGGCACAGAGGTCAATTTTGCCTGAGGCACAAGGCGAAGTGCATGCCTTTTTGAAGCAAGGAACAAAAATACAAAAAAAAAATGCTAAATATTCAAAAAAATGTCAGAAAATTCAAAAACAAAAAAGCCAAAAAAATTCAAAAAAATATTAAACATAATATTAATAAAAAATATAAACTTAAATTTAAAATAAATGTTTTAAAAAACCTATTATCTAAGATTAAAATACATAAACATAAAATGAAAGCATATTCAAATGAGAATTTAAAAATAAAATCAAACATATAAAACATTTTCAAGCATGTAAAACCTCTAATCTCTTTTATCACTCAATTGCATTACTTCAAGTAGCTAAAGTAATGTAAAACATATTACATTCCTGATTCTGAGAACCCCCTATTTGCTAATGTTGTTCATTCATTCATCCTAATAAAATATTTTCTTAAAAAGCAATTAAAATTATAAATTCGTTATTTTTTGTGAGAGAACTAAGAATTAAACACCTAGCATGGACTTGTTTGGTCTTGCCTCGAAGGGCATGGCACGGGGGTCCCCCAGGCCCAGCTGCTATGTTCAAAAAAAGCAAAAAAACATCAAATTTTCAAAAGGCGCACACCTGGGCTGAGGTGCAAGGCACATCAAGCGCACCAGGCGTGCACCTTTCGAAAGGGCCGCACCTAGGACCTAGGCGAGGCACATACCCTAAAATGTACCTCACCTGTGCGCCTAGGCACACCTTTTAAATCATTGGGTAAATTCAGGGGGGTTTCTAGGTTTATATCATGCCTTACCTAGTGTTTTAAAAGGCATACCTAGACACAAAAGCAAGGTACATTTTAAGGCACCTTGCTTGAACCCAGGCAACACCCCTTTTTTTATCAATCAGGCAACACCCCTTTCAAATGATGTACGCCTTTTATTATTTTTTTTGGTATCCTTTTTATACATTATGAAGTGTGTGTAACCTTTATAGTGGTCTATTAACTTCCAACTAACATTTTATTGGTGCATGTTCACTAATAAATTTTTTTGGTAAGTAAATAACAAGAATTTTATTAAAAGAAAAGAAGTTGTAAAAAGAGGATGATAAGACAGCACCCAGGAACAAAGAAAACCAAACAAAACAAAAGAGCCATCTATCAAACTAGATAACAGGCTCTGCATTACATATTTGATATCCCAGGACCTCTCCTAACCCACTCGCAAAATCCTCCTTTCTTAATTGACTGAATTCAGGAAGAACCAACACCCGTTCTACCACTGATATGCCCACAGCAGCAACCATCTTCTCCATGCTACAAGCCTTGTCTTCAAATGTCCTGTTTCTTTCCTTCCATATGTTCCAGCATATTGCAAATGGGATACAACTCCATAGCATCCTCACCTTCTTGCTCCCAGACAGCCTGGGCCATGTAGAAAATCTCGGCTGTTGAGGTTGGATGAAATCCAGACACGCTGAACATGGAAGTAAAAACATTCCACAGGAATCTTGGAAAATTGCATGAGATGAATAGGTGAAACATGTTCTCCTCCTGCTCATCACAAAGGCAGCACCTGGAAGCCATATTAAAACCTCTGGATTTCAAGTGATCGGCTGTCAAAATGATGTCCATTGCTATCAGCCAGGCCAGGGCCTCCACTCTTGGAGGGACTGGATTTCCCCAGATGCCCTTAATGTGATTTACATCTGAGATAGCCCTGCTTGCAGCCTCCAGTTTCTCTAAGAGAGAGATGCATTCTTCAACTTCTCTGTTCAATAAAGGCCTCCTGAATTTCGGACTCCAAATCAACTGCTCTCCCGTCCTATCATAACAGCCACTGATGGTATTTTCAGCCTCTGATAACCTATACAATCTTGGACATAATTCACACAGCCTTCCCACCCCACACCACTCATCCTCCCAGAACATGATTTTAGATCCATCCCCTACTACAAAGCTGGTTAGGTCTCTGAATTTCTTGTTAAAGGTCATGATCCCCTTTCAAACACCCACCCCAGTGGAAGCCCTCACCCTCTTTGATTCCCAACCAAATATCACAACTCCATATTTCCCCACCTCATAGTGCTTGTGCACTAATAATGGACCATTAACTTTTAAAAGCAACAAACACCCAAGTGTATCTCTGATCCCTAACCCAATGTTTTAAAAGCACAAGGGCCAATTTGCACCTGAGGCGCAAGGCGCAAGGCGAGGCACGAGCCTTTTTTAGAAAGGTACAAAATTACAAAGTAAAAGCTAAAAAATCAAAAAAAAAAGTCAGAAGATTCAAAAAACAAAATGCCGAAAAAAATTTATAAAAATGTAAAAAATTCAAAAAAATATATTAAACATAATGTTAATATAAAACATAAACTTAAATTTTAACATGAATGCTTAAAAAAACCTATTATCTAAAATTAAAATACATAAAATAACATGTCAAGCGTATTCAAATGAAAATTTAAAAATAAAAGCAAACATATAAAGCATTTTCAAGCATGTAAAACCCACAATCTCTTTTTCTCCTTAATTTCATTGCTTCAAGTAGCTAATGTGATGTAAAACATATTGCATTCTTGATTCTCTGAGTCACCTTTGTACCACACCCCTCGAGGCAAGCCCAAACAAGTCTATGTTAGGGTCTGAAATTCTTTTTTCTCATATATAAAATAATGATTGTATAACTTTCGTTGCCTCATGCACCTATTGAAAGGGGTTGCCTAGGACCTGGGCGAGGCGCATACCCCAAAATGCACCTCACCTATGCTCATAGGCACGCCTATATCACTACCCTAACCTTAAAATAGAGTTAACTGCAACCAAAAATCACACTAGCTACTTGAAATAACGTTTCAACCTCATAGGATTAGGAAAGCAAGATGCTTAACATCAAACTAGCTACTTGAAGTAATGTAACTAGGAGAAGAACATAGACATTGAGAGTTTCACATGCTTGAATTGTGAGTGCTTGAAGCACTTTGTTACAACCCACATCCGTTTACTTTCATTTTCACTCAAATTTGGTTTACATATTATGCTTATGTATTTTGAATTGAAATAATAAGCTTTAAAAAAAAATCTTTTGGAATTGATGTTCACATATTGTTTATGTATTAATGATTTCTATTTTAACTACTTTTCGAAGTTTTACACCTCGCTTCACCCACATGCATGCCTCGCCTTGCACCTTGAGCACTATAAGGTGCTTGTCCCTTTCTTTGGCCTCTAATTTTTACAATAAATACTGTACCTATGTCACCTGGATACCTTTACATGCCTAACATACCATCACCATATCAGAGATGATACTAGGATATTGCATTGAATTTGGCAAAGCCACAAGTCTTGAGAAAAACTTAGCTTCAAAAACTAGACATAAAATGCATGACATAAGCATATTATATGGAATACACATACACATACCCATGTCCAGAATTTTAAAAAATGGAATCACACCCATGTTTCCCATTATCTGGGCAAGTGGCATTAGATGACTTTACCTCCTTTTCAATTGAAGTTTATCCATCAGTCAGCCTTGTATGTGTGCTCTATGAATCCCTACATTTTTTTTTTATCAATAACACCAGCTTCATTAAATTAAAAGAAAAGAGGGAATATGGATACAAGAGGGGAGATAAAATATCTTAGCTCCCCAAAAACAGAAAACAAAGGGAGTACAAAGAGAAAAGATTAAAAACTAGCCCAAAATACAGACTCGCTATTCACTCCTTGCTTGGCCAACCCATCCGCAAATGAGTTGGCACTCCTCTTCACCCAGTTGTACNCAAAATACAGACTCGCTATTCACTCCTTGCTTGGCCAACCCATCCGCAAATGAGTTGGCACTCCTCTTCACCCAGTTGTACTGAATCTCAATGTCCCTACCCATCCATAAGAACTGTTTTTTTTCATTGTTAAAGTTCCACAAACCACTGTCCTCTGTCTTCAACCAACTAACCACCACCTTCGGATCACCTTCCAGGATCAAATGGCTRATATTTAATTCCTTTGCTCTTCGAATTCCTTCAAGCATTGCAAGGATCTCAGCCCTAAGA